CTGGGCATATATTGTGACGGTTGGTAAATGTTTTTTTGAGTTGATTTTGTTTTATTTACTTCTGTTCTTCATTTCGTTTACCAATCTTTGAGTATGTTCAGATATTGTTGCAGGTTTTGTGATACTTGTATGGGATCTTCGTTTACGGCTAGTATTGCTACGTCGTCAGCAAAGAAAGCGATTGTAATATTATTAGTCTCTGGTATATCGGCTGTGTAGAGTGAAAAAAGCAGCGGCCCTAGAACACTACCCTGTGGGACACTACCCTAGATTGTTGGTCTTTGAATTTTACAGAGAAATATCTATTTGTTATGTAGGATATAAGTAGGAGGAAATAGTTACTGGATAGTGCTATTTTTACTTTGTAAAGCAGACCTCTGTGCCAAACTTTGTCAAACGCTTGTGAGATGTCTAGAAATACAGCGTAGCAGTATTTCTTTTCTTCAAGACTTTTTGATATTTTATTTATCATTCAATGAACTTTTTGGGTAATGGAGTGATTTTCTCGAAAACCAAACTGATTGGAAGTAATGTTAGGAATTCATGATCTGCGTATATCCTTTGTAGTACCAATCTTTCAAAAACTTTGCTTTCGGTTGGGAGTAGGCTGATGAGTCGATAAGATGTTACTTCATTGGGCTCTTTTCCTGGCTTAAGGATCATAATGACTTCAGCAAATTTCCATATTTTTGGAAAGTATGATAAGCTTAGCATGCGGTTAAATATAACTGTTAGCAAAGTTATGGTTTTGCGAGGAAGTTGTTTTAGTACTTCTGTCGAGATTAAATCATAGCCTGGGGCCTTTCGTGAATTGAGTTTGTTTATTTCTTATCTGACTTTTTTAGGAGTAAAACTTTTAATTGGGAGGAACATTTGACATGCTGCGCTAATTAGTTCTTCCACTTCTTCATAATGGTCTGCTGGCTCTGTTTGAAATACGTTTGTAAGATGTTCAGCAAAAAAGTCCGCTTTTTCTTTGTTGGAACATGCCCATTCGCCATTTCTTTTACGGATGGGAGGAATGGTTGTGTATGGTTTCTTAAGCTTCTTAGTCGCCTTCGATAATGTCTGGTCATTTGCTGTAAGGTTTGTAATGTAGTGTTCGAAGGTTTCGTTGTTTGCGGCTTTGATGGCTACTCCAAGTTACCTACGTAGTCTGTTGAATATATGTAGGTCTATTTTGTTTTTAAATCTTTGCCAAGTTCTCATCGCACGACGTTTTTCAGCAATGTGCAAGCAAGTTGGCGTATATGCAGGGGAACATTTGTGGTATGTGTTGGTTTGCGTTGAGTTTGTGGTGTAGATTGCCATGCCACTTTTTGCACAAGTGTGGTGAAGTATTGAGCTGCTGTATATATGTTATGTGCAGTTTTGATCCGCAGATTAAGGTGGGTATTTTCTTCTAGGTAGAAATGAAAATCTGCCCAGTTGGTGTTTTTTGAAGTGACTCGAGGAGGTGGTAGACTGTTTATAACTGTGGTACTCAGGCTCATAATAACCGGTGTATGATTCGATGAGATCTCATAGCTAGATTCTATTAGACAGTTGTTTCTGGACACTCCTTTACTTATGTAGTAGTCCAGCAGATCTGGAAGTTTTCTTGGGTCACTCGGCCAGAACGTAGGGATTTTATTGGTGTGGCAATCATAGTTGTTGTCGGTCATTGCTTTTAGAAGATTACGAATTTTTGTTGTTGTGAGTCTTGAGCCCCAGTGTATGTGTTTCGCATTCCAGTCTCCCCCAGCTACGAATTTGCTGCCAAGTAATTGAAAGAAGGCTTTACATTCATATGTGGAGATTGTGTGACGAGGTGGGCTATATATTGCAGATATGTTAAAGTGCCATAGCGTTGCATTAACTTGAACGATTGTTGCTTGTATTTTTTCTGTTGCATAATTCGGCAATACATGATGTGATATGCAGCTGCGGATAATTATCGCCGAGCCACCATGAGCTGTAACATCAGGATGAGGTGTGCTGTATGTGGTATAGAGCGAAATATTAAACGTAGTTAGTTCGGTAAAGTGAGTTTCTGAAATAAGCAGAAAGTCAGTTTTATTTAAGTCTAAAAAAGTAATTACTTCTTGCTTATGGTTTAGCAGGTCGTTAGCGTTCCATGTGGCAACTCTAAGTGTGTTTAAGAATTTCTTTGGTTAATGACTTGTGTTAGTAAGTTTAATATCATACTATTTTGACTCATGAGCTGCAAGAAAATGTTTTTAAACTTGTTTAGGAATGTCAATAGTTGTTGTTATACATTAGTTTTAGGTTCTGAATTGTGATTGGTGTGATGTGCTGTCACGTTAGCATATGTTCTTTGATGGTTTTGTAGAGTATTTAGCTGATTTGTTTCAGTACATACATGTGGACTGTTGAATGTTGGTCTTTAAGGCTATTGGTTTCCTCTTTTCTGCATTTGTCTGTTTTCTACTAGTTCCCTGTAGACTACACAGCCCTTATAGTTAGCAGGGTGATCTTGTTTCTAGTGCATACTTAGCTAGAGTGGTTCTAGGTTTTTTACAATCTTTTGTATTGTGTTGTCCTTCACATTTGACGTAGTAATGCGGTTTAGTGGAATATGTTTTACTATGACCATATGCTTGACATCGCATGCATTGAATAATTGTGTTTCTCTTATGTGGTGCCTCGACTGCTACTTTGTTATGACATAAGAATTCTAGGATGAATACGTCTTTGTTGTTACTGTTGAGTTCAAGATTTATGAAAAACAAAGATAAGGGTTCCTTTGCTTGTTTGTTATATTGCGAACTTTATGGCCAGCTTTTTCTAGTTAATGTTTTATATCTGTTGTGGGTATACAGTGATGGATATGTCTGATTACCACTCTATAGGCACGTTCTTCCTTTATTTGGTAACTGTGGTGAATGATTTCTTCTTTCCGTAAATGTCTTATCAGTTTACGGTATGTATCTATTGTATATGTTGTAATCTTGATAGTGTCGTTTGGTGGAGTTCTGGTATAGTAAGTTGCTTCCTCCATAATTTGTGCAAAGTTGTCGACCATATTTTTAATGTTTTTGATGCCATATACAAATATTCGAGGTGGTTTTGGTATTTTCTGTTGTTTTTCTGTTTCAGTCTGTTCAGAGCTCTCGGCATTAGATAAGGTATCTAATTTGTATCAATTACTATCGATACACTGTATCGATTTTGTATTTTTGTTGGTGGTGAGCTTGGAGAATTGGGATCATTATGTTGTTTTGAAAATTTAAGTTTTTTGACAACTTGCAATGAGTTCTTATTTTGGGTTTCTTGATCGTCGTCTTCGCTAGACTCTATATCCGAATTTTGTGAATGTCTAATTGCAAGTTTTAGCTTTGTGCTTGAGGTCTGTCCTACAGTAGATGGGTTGCTTGGGTTGTAGTTAATTAGTTGGGGTTGTGGGGGAAATTGTTGTGGTTGTGGTGGAAGAGAAAATTGATTTTGTAGAATGTTTGATGTAGGAGTATTTGCGGGTTGCCGGTATATGTTTTTTGGTGCATGTTCGGATGTGTATTCTAGTGGAGAATATTGTTGAGGAGTTGGGTACATGTTCCTGAATGTTAGCTAATAGTGGACCTGCTGCTTACCTGCAATTTCTGCTGATAATACAATAAACACTGATTGTTTGTGTTCCGTGTGTGTGAATTGTTCATTGTAGAAAACAGAATTTGATAAGCCACTGCCACTTGTTTATTTTAATAACTAGTAATTAGGTTTTAATTGTTTTTATCAGTGGTCACTTTTTGCTATCGCGCTCGGCGAAATACGTCCTTAAGTGAACACTTAAGGAAAAAATTGGAACGCTAAACAGTATATTCAGTAATATTTGTAAGATTATTTAGGGCCACTTGCTCCATTTGTTGTAGAAAAATTTCGTCTGATGCAAGATAGTGCTCATCCGCACATCGCAAAAATAACTCGGGATTACTTGAATGAAATTGGGATTCGTTTATTATCATGGCACCCAAATTAGATGGTTTATTTAACAATATAATTATTAAAATACCAGGTACTAATTCGTAATGTATGCAAAAAGTATGTACAAATTAAAAAAATAAACGTCAAAATTCATTAACAAGAAACATAGATATAGTTAACAGCTCCTTCCTCCTCCACTCTCACTAGTTTCAAAGGCAACCAATTTTGAGGACCACATTTCTGAAGCTTTGTGCACGATTTCTTTAAAATGGAGTATTTTTTTAATTTTTCACATTAAAACTTTAATGTTTTTTTAGATGACCGTAATAGGGTCTGTTAATTATAAAAAACAAAGCTGCTTTTAAAATTATAAAAAAAGGTACTATCATCGTTCCAAAGTGTCCTAGATCAACCTTTTCTTTTTTTAAATTTGTAAAAAATTTAGGCTAATTTAAATATGAAAAATCACCTTTTTAGAGCCAATGGTTAAAACGTTATTCTAATTGTTTATAAGCAAAAAATCGAGATGTTTTCGACAAATTATTTTGCAATATTTAAAATAATTTTTCCTGATCTTTTTTTCTCCTTTTAGATGCTATCGGTATAATTAATATAATTATATAATTTTCTGACTTACATTGTTGCAAAAAAAAAATAATTTGGGATAAACAATTTTAAACAATTTATTCGATAGACTTGAAATTTTGACGATATTTTAAGCCTCACAAGACCCAACATCTTATGTAATATAATGGCTATAAGTTTGTTTGTAAAAAGGTAATAATATTTTTATAAAAAACCAAAACTTTTTGACTCAAGTTGCAATTTTCTAAGCAACAGTTAATAATAGGAACATTTCAAATACGTTATTTTAAAGGTTTTTATATGACTTAAGTGAGTTAAAAAAAAATCGACTACAGGAAACATAATAGTTTCCCTGTTATCCATATAGGTCTATGCTACTCAAAACAACTGTCGTTTGCCTGGCCAGACGAGTGTCACGAAAAAATGCTTTTTTCCCTGGGCTAGAAACGCTGGTGAAATTTTTACGTTGACTAGAGGGGTAGTATAACGAATAAATGACAGATAAAATTTTACACGCTGAAATGTGTAAGGTACTAAAAGACGAAAACACATCGCTTCTAACAGGATCTCTTTATTCCCAGAGTTGTATGTACTCAAATAACTTTCTGGATTCTTCTTAAATCGCCGGAGTTAGCTTTAACTTTATTTCATATAACGATATTCGGTGCAATATACTCTAAAATCCTAAATTTTTTAATATAAATGTTTGTTTACTGATATAGAGTACAATTTTTATTAAATATTTTTGTTTTTATTAGAGCTTTTTGTATGGTGTTGTTATTTTACCCGAGGGTTTGACTTTTTTTAGTTCTTGCTATGTGTGGAAAGCATTAATTGGTGCTAGTTTGTGATAAAGATCCTGCGTCTTAAAGATCAGTCCTAACATTTAGTGATAATGATGTATAGAAAATAAAGATAGTTGTTCGACTGCAGTTTCAGTCAGAATAGGATTTTCTTATATTCAGGTAAATTTGGAAACTGAGAAGTAAGGTTTTTTTGTATAGTCAGATGGTCTTTATGCCATTACGTTAAATCACTCTAAGGGAGAGCGCCCACCAAAGTGGCGTGTCAGTGGCAAGTAGCAAGTAGCACGCGTCTAGCATAATGTAACCAATGAAAACGACCGATTCAGCGCACACCAAAATGACAGTGACGTCATTCATTCTAATCATTTATTTTCATTGGTTACATTTTAAGAAACATGCTAGACGCGTGCTACTTGCTACGTGCTACTTGCCACGCCACTTTGGTGGGCGCTCGCCCTTAACGTGAATAATTCAAATTTTTATCTTTACCTTACGTTTTGTCATATTTAATTCTATTTAGCACAGAATGCATAGCTGCAATGTCCTTTTGTTTATACATTTGTTCAGACAATATACACAATGTAGACAATGTAGTGGCTTTTGAGGTAATGTGACACTACACTAAATTGATATATCTTCTATGAGTTATGGCTTTGTAAAAATTCTTTGAGATATAATAAGAATATACTAAAGTGAACATTATCACTTCAAAAATAAGATGCAGCAATAAATTAAAGAATAAGTCAGCGATAGTTAACAAAGGAAAGACAATAAGGCTAACTAAGTTAAAATTAAAATTGTCTTAACAATATCAAAAATAGATACAAACAAACAAGTACAACAGGAGTAAAACAAAAAAAGTGTCTCCTCGGATGTTGTAAAAATGACACAATATTAATAACCAGGATCTGATGTCAACCAGGATATATTACGCAAAAAGATATATATATATATATATATATATATATATATATATATATATATATATATATATATATATATATATATATATTATTGTGATATTTAAAGTCTTGGTGCGCCAAGCAATTAATTAGCTAATTAATTAAAATTATTTAAATGATATGATTATGGCTCTATCACACTTTTTAATTCTCTTATCTCAGGGTTAAATTCGTGTGCTTCAATATTTATGCTATTACATGTGAAAGGTAAGGTCCAAAGAATACCGGAATAATAAAAAACATATATGATCTAACATTATATATTGAAATAAAAATAATGAAATAAAATTCACACTCAAATGTTTTCAATAAACAATGTCTCATATAATGATTCTCAAAATTTTGTTCTACGTACGTGAACCTTCAAAATTAATGGTACAAACAATATTAGTTGAAATCTCAAAATCCCAAATATTATTCTAAATCTCCCAATCAAAAGATTTATATCCTTTCTAAATTAAGTGTAAAAATTGTGTTATCAATAAAAGAAAAACTGCAGAAACAAAACTATCTCTCTCTGATGATGAGTGGTCCAAATCCTTGTTCCTTGTAGACTATATTATCTACTCTCAGCCGCTCCCTAGGTTATCAGCAATCTTACAACAAATTATTACAAGTTTATCGTCCTTAATGATCTCCTTCAAATGCACGAATCGTTCAAATTATGCTAGCTTCTCCTTCTCTCAATAAACTGAATCTCTCGTTGGCCTGAGTGAAAAATGACTCTTGGAATATCTTTTCTTTACGATAAACTGAATCTCTCGTTGGCCTGAACAGTGACTCTTGGAATATAAGTAGAAAAATATGACTTACAATCTTTTACTGGATCAGCTTCTTTCAGATACACTAACTACACGAAAACTCACAAACTTTCACTGCTACTGCTTCCTACCTCTGGGAAACTACCCGAGAAAAAACGGCCGTTCGCCTTGCACCCTTGGAAACCAACTGATTGTCTTTTTTTCCCTCAAAAATCTAGCTAAACTTTCATTCCTACATACCTATCCCACCTTTTTCAATCTCCGCCAATCAAAGCTCGTCACAATTCTCCCATTTTTTCATTTCGATAACAAACAAATTTTTACCTATAATCATAAAATTTCCTAAAACTTATTTACAAATAATATTTTTCTACAATTCTTAAAAACGAACAAAAACCTATCTTTCTAAAATCTATTCTATTGTCCTTAATCACTGCATTAATGTATTTGGAAAACCCGGTTCAATTGTCTTTGGATTTCACTTAAAATTATGCGGGTCACTCAAGTATATTATAACAAAGAAAATAATTTATGCATAGCTTACATTTTGTTTAATACAGGTAATCCAAAAATTTAAAGACTTTCCTTCTTCGAAATGTTTGTTGGTGATTATCCTACTTATCTGAATTATTTTAATGTTTTTGAACTTTGAAATATTTTAAACAAACCAATATTTTTCTCGATTTTACATATCATAACAATATATATATATATATATATATATATATATATATATATATATATATATATATATATATATATATATATATATATCCGGTATTTACGCGGCACACGCCCTTCCCGTAGGGATCTATGGGTAAGTATCACCGAACCACAAGCCCTTATCTCTTGCCGTACTGCTCCACCATAAGCCGGTCAGATACCAGCTTATTCTAGACTAAGCCGCAGATGCATTTGGAATTTTAAACTGCTGCGTCAGCCTTTTTGTTTTCTGTACACCGAGCTGGGAATTGAACTGACATCTCTCGCATTGAAGCGAAGGAGAAGCCAGCCGCTCAGCCCGCTTGGCTATCTGATCGACAAAAAAAAAGATATAAAAATGGGACATAAATCAAACATTGGACTTGAAGAGGGCTTGTATAAGGGAATAGAAACTATCATTATTTATATAGTAGTTAAAAGTATATGAGGTATTGCTCCCAAAAATAAATGCTTTTCCAATAAGTATTAGAAACAGCATATTCCCGATAAATAAATCTTGTACTTTAAAATAAAACTCAAATCTACAGTCTAATAAAAACCTAATATATTTAAATTCAAGGAAAAAATATTGTATTAATTGTATTATTATGTATATAAAATATTTTAAATTATTCTTAAATTTGCATTTATTTGTCTGTATAGATATTTCTTAAAGCGCTACCTTGTAAGTTGCTGCTGCATGATACTAATCACTTTTCTTATTTTAGGTCCGTACGTGTTAGTATGGAAGAAAGGAATAGCAGTTCTTTCAGCGGGAAACGTAAAAGTATCTCCCGACCCCCGCATTAACTTAGTGCACGGTTACAGCTTGGAGATTAAGGACGTGGGCCCCCAGGATGCAGGGGACTACGTCTGCCAGATCGGTACCCTCGAACCAAGAGAAATTACACACACAGTTGAAATACTCGGTAAGTTTTAATGGAAAATCGATGTCTTACATTTAAGTGCCTTACGAAACAGGAAAAATATTAAAAGAGTGGAAATGGAAGAGCGCTACCTAATAGGTATCTATTTCCGAGATATGTTTTTCGCATTTTTTATATGAAAGTATAAATTAAGAGCTGTTTCGCTTTATATCCTGTGCATTAAAGTATATTTCAAAAATATTTGCTCTTATATTAAAATTTTGATATAAAATTAAACATGGTACAAAAAACGTTGGTTTAAGTCATTAAAAGTTCTTTGTTTATATTTAATTACATTTCTTCCATAGAATTATCGTCTCATGTTCATATTTTATCTACATTAATAGTACATGTGGGATCATATTTTTAAATAACAAATGCCTATAAATATTTATATCAAAAAGTGATAAATTTTTTAGACAAGCGAAAGGCTATTATATGGAAAGATATTCGTATGAGATTTTTTTGCATAATTACTTTCATCAGATAACCCAACATAAGGTTCAACGTTGTTAAAATTTTTTCAGGAATTTTTTTTAAACTAATTCTAACAATCTTAGTCCTATTTCATTTTAAAACAACATTTTTTTTTAATTGCTAATGAAGCGCTTATGACAAAACAGGCGCTCGGACTGCGGATAAGAGAGAGAAACAAGATCTACGGCACATATTTTTGCTGGTTTACATTCTCATTGTGCAAATACCAGTGGTACATACAAAATGCATATTTTGTAATTTTGTATAAAAACATATATATATATATATATATATATATATATATATATATATATATATATATATATATATATATATATATATATATATTGTACACAAGACATAATATGACATGACAATGACAAATCAACGATTATCAAAACCATATGAAATGACAAACTCTTGAAACAAAGAAGAGGAAAAGACCTAAAACGACGTGGTCTTCAGGTATTTGGAAGTTACGCCGAAAGTTGATTAAACGACAGAAGGCAATGAAAAATGGAAACTGAAAACCGCAGGATAAAAGATCTCATTATTATATATCACAACTTAATAAATTGAATTGTTCGTAAACGCTCCATTGGAAGTTATTTTAAATACAACCCTCAATCAGTAGTAGTTTCATATAGTTGCCATATGTATTTAGGGTAAAATATTACTTTTTCATTCCTTCGCAAACTGGCCAACAGTGCAGACGTAAACATAAATTGTATTAAGTAATGTTTATATTATAATTCGTGCTTATTGAACGTTGCTGAGATATCCCAATCGCTTAATGTAATATTTAAATGTTTTATGATGAAAAAGGTAGAAGGCAACCGTAAATACGTATTTCTGACTATTTCGTCATCATCATCTTCTTCTTATGGTGCCCTATCCAATTAGTGGATGTTAGCGACAATTCTGACATACTCCTCTCGATCTTGTGTATCTTAAAAGTGCACAGACATCGAGGTTTGTCCAATCTCTTATGTTTTTAAGCCATGAGTATTTCTTTCTTCCGATGCCCCGTTTTTCTTTTATCTTCCCTTCCATAATATGCTTTAAGAACTGGTACTTGGAATTTCGAAATATATGACCAAGATAAGTAGTTTTTCTTCTTTTTATAATTGGCAGCAATTCTTGTTCTCTGCCCGTCGTCATCAGTAAGGTGCATCTAAGTTAAAAAAGGGAAAATTTAACTTGAGAAATGATTATTACAGGAGCAATGCCACCATTTTGTGGCAATAATTTAAGAAATCCTGAAACTACAAGTAACTACGGTGTCTGCAAGTTAGTAAACTTTTTTTTTATCTATTTTTCTATTAATTTACGTTGAGGGTTTTGCAAGATTACCGGTAGCTGGAATATCAGTTTTATAGTAGACTTACTGCTGTTAACCGTTAGTGTTGGTATACTCTTACTAGTAACTTCTTTTTTCAGGATTGGTAACCAGAAATTGCTCCATTTTATTGATGCTGCCCAAATTTTAGTTCTATAAAATATACCCAATAGTTAAGTTAAATAGCTAAGCTAATACATTTGTGTTTATAACCATTTCTTTTCTAGTCTTTTTTTGCGTATGAGTATTTAATTTTTTTGTGATTTGTATACCGCATTATATGTTTGTTTGATACTTTTTGCATTTTCTAAAGTTATTAGTTATTATAAGTATATTTTTCCCAATATCCATATTTTAGCTTATTTAGCGAATATATTTTGCGTTTATATTTTTATTCGATAGTAAAACTCTTCAAGGTTACCCAATCAACATCTTTGAATGATTGGAGCAAAATTGGTGGAGTTATGGGCATTTAGAAGTGAGTAAGTTGAGTGAGTGAGATGAGTAAGTAAGATGAGTAAGTGAGGTGAGTGAGTGAGTGACTTAGGTAAATAGAGGTGACTGAGTGAGTAAGGTGAGTGAGAGGTGATTAAAGTGAGTGATTGAGGTGGGTGAGCTTGTTGGGTGGTTGAGATAAGTGAGTGAGGTAAGTGAAAACTGACCTAGAAATTGCAATAAGTACAGTGTCAAGTTCTCATAATCATGCACTCGCGGCAGATAACAATCAAATTACTAGAGTGGATAAAATGTCTGAAGTTGCAGCGGAAAAAAGCAGAGTTGGTCAAAAGCAAGAGCAAAAAGATGCTCTAGATATTTTAGCAGAAATCACGTGGCTATATTGGCCTGGCTTCTCGGAATAATTGTTTTCAAGTCAGTGTTATGTATGTATGTGAATAACTGTATCTCAAAAACTACTTGACCGATCATTTTATGGACAAATTCTTAGTTCGCAACGTTCCATTTTGGTTTTACAAATATTTTTATAACATTAAATTTGTCAAATGTTAACAAAAATGTTTCTAAAATTCAACAAATTCGTCTTTTTTACTGCTAAAATTTGAAAAAAAAAAAACAACAAAATGAACAATATAACTAACTAACTAAATATTTATGTTTATTTGTCAACAAATGATCCAGTTATCAGTTACGATGAACACCCCAAAGTAACTTTTTTTTTTTATCTTGGAAATTTTTCCAAGCCTCCATTGTCTTAATATTTTCATAATTTTCAATATTTTTGTACCAAAATTTTAAAATTTACTCTTGAAATATTACACAATAGTAAACTAATGGTATAATAAGTTAATAATAAACAATTTTTCAAAAAAAATTAGAAATAGATATAAAATATTGAAAATAAACCGTACCCTCCTCAACCCCATTAAACAAGTAGAAAAGGTTGGTTTGACATCGGAATTACTCGCCACAAGTATTGAAGTAGAATATTATAGGCAGCTATATTTTATATTTCATGAAATAAAAAAGTTTTAATTAGGTCATTGTAAATTTATTAGTTTAGATTTATAACACTATTTTTAAGATATTTCCCAAATGCAACCTATGTAAGTAGTCAACAGTTTAATTATTGCTAATCCATCTAATTTAAATAAATTGGTACTATAAACTACTTTTTATTACATATGTATCAAAAAAATTAAACTAATTGATACATTTCGTTTCTCATGACATTCGTCGAATGAAATAACCTCCAATATTTTTATAAGCTCAATTTTTCTTCAGGTTAGGCAAGGTCCAATATATTTCAGGTTTACCGCGAAAATTGGAGCAAAATCTGCCCTAAATCGCCACACATTAATTCAAAATCCCACGTACAATGGTTTTGTTTACCCTTGTCTAGCTAAAGAGGGGAAATTCTTAACGCTATCAGAAAGGAAAAAGGTCTACGGATGGATCTTCAAGCCCTCTAATAAAGCTCGCTCACCCTAATTTTATCACCTCGAAAGGGCCAAGGTTTATCTCATTGGTCCCTTGAGCAAGAAATATCGCTATCTCTCGCAATTGGCAATACCCTATAAACACACAACAGAGAATTCTTAAAAACGAAACAAAACGTGCAAAAGTGTTCTTAAATAAGAAACATACAAACCCATTTATTGAATGTATACACGGAAATTTATTCGTATTTTCCAATTACAATCATTTTATTATTTATTTACTTTATTTTGATAAGAAATGTAATAATATTATTAGTATGGACAGAGTATGTTTGCTTTAAACACATTTTAAAATGGATTATCATAAATTATCATCACCCATTATTCTAAAATAACTTCAGCACTATGAATAATCAACATTTATTTTATTCCAGAATCCCATATACTAACAATTTGAAATATTATTAATACATTCCTTAGATCATTAGAATCTTCAACATAAAACATTCTTAAATCTGGACCCCAAGAGGTTTTTTGTTCATAGAATTTTCTTTAATACTTTATCAAAAACCTAATTTTTCCTAAAACTATATTAAATATCAGTATTAAATTGGTATGGTACCTCAACCTATTTAACCCAAAAAATTATTTATTATATTCCATCTGGTTTCGAGAAATGTACTCGTTTTACAAATATTTGATTTTAAGTTAATACGTGGTTTGAGGGTTTCCAACACAAAATGAAGAGTCGTTCAGACTAGTATTATTAACTAAATAAATCTTTATATTTCCTAATCATATGTAAATTTACATTGTCAAATAGAAATATCAAACGTTTAACCATAAACGGCTATAAATTTGAAAATGTTAAAGTGGTACAGAAATTATTATACAAACTTCCCAATGTTCTTGTCGGTGTGAGGATATATCTTCTCATGGTACATGAAAACTTAAAATAAGATAAAATTTGCTTTACACCGGTTTAAATAGAGAATCGTTTATCTGCTTTTTTGATCAATTTCCGGTTTCAACTGTCAGATATTAGAATTACCAACTAATTGTTGTTGACTTCGTAATAGTTTAGCCAATTTCTTAAATTTATCAATTAATTTATCATCAACAATTTAACTACTTATTGTTCTAGTCTCTATACCAACATATAAGAACTAAAATAAAATATTTATACCTACCATGACAGATAACTCACTCGCAGCAACAATAGTTTTTCAAAGAAATTTTGTAACTTTATTATAGATTTTGATTACAATTGTACATTTAATTACCAAATAATC